ATTTTAAATTGGGTTGCCAGGTTAAGCTAAGTTATGTTGTGTCATAGGATTATGTTACATAATGTTATGTTATATTATTTTATGCATAACCTAGCATAATGTTAAGTTGTACATATTTTAAAGTGACCAACAAAAATAAAACAAAAAGGTTTTATAATCACACTGACTTGATATGAAATTGCTGTATAATTTTTAGGCTGACCATTCGCATTTTCACTATTATTAGCTAATTAAACAAAGGCCAAGCAAATCTGCTAATCTCACCGTACAAAACCACTATACGTCAGACAAATGTTTAAGCAATTAGGCAAAGCCGGTAACGGTGACTGGCTTGGCATAATATATTTGGTTTCTGTTGCTTACCAAACTTACAGACAAATCACTTCGTGTAGAAAAAGTAAACAAAAACTTCCGTCAAATAGCCAATACCTTGTGGTTATGGTATGTGTGATAACTAAGTAGGTTTTTGGGTCTATGTTTAATAAGCTATTTTAGTTATTCGCAATATAGGAACTCCACAGTCAACTTAAAATTATTTATTCTCCATATTACTAAATAAAACATGTAGACGTGAAGGATTGTCGCTGAGTGTTTGAAGGCTTAAGTGGAAATAAGTGCTAGCTTACGTAGATGTTTAAAATAAGTCTAAGTTAGAGGCAATAAATAAGGTTTTGCTCAAATGACGGTGGTAGGTCCTTTTAAACAACAGACAAAATATAAAACGAATACGTAAAAATGCAAAGTCAGCCAAATAATTTGTAAGACACTTCTGATTAAAAATACATAAGTAGCAAATAAAATTAAAATGTAAAGCTTTGCACAACAATAATAAAAGGTGGCGACTTATGAAAACACATTCAAATTAAATATATATACATTTGTTCATCCGGATTAAGTCTATTGTAGCCAGCCAAGCGTGTTCACTCAAAGTTTTGTAGAGCGTTCACCTCTAAAGTGCGAAGTAATAAACCTGTACTGATAAAAACATATATTTTCACGTATTTGAATACAAATCTCTATTAACGCCTACAACATGACTCCTCAGCAACTCTAAACGTGCCAACACTTTACCCAATTTCGGTGCCTTCTTGAATTTTTCGGTTTCGGCTAATTTTCATAAGGCCATTTGCTAGGTGTTGGAATAGACGTCGCATTAAACACACGATACCAGTAGTGATGCATTTGAAGAATATAGGCTTCTAACTACGTTATCAAGCATCTATTTCGCTACCTTTCTTCGACGTCGTTTTACAAAATGTTAGGGTTTTGGTGCCTGTTTAGCCTTATTTTGGTTCATGCCAAACATAGATCAAAATATGTCGGGTTAATCATAAGAGCTGTTTATATCCTCTATATCTCTCTGGCCATAACACGAAATCAAGCACTGTGTCTTTAGCATTCGATGTTATTGTCATAACGGTCGTCACTGATTCGCATGAGGCACGCTTCGATAACTTCCTTACCTGTACCAGATAACATGCCACTCAAATACTTGGGTTGGTGATAAACTAGACTCCTAAAAATACTTCTACAACATTTTCAACGATTTTGTTATAGTGAATCCATTGGAAAGCAAAACTTCAAGCAAACTCGTTTTCAATTCCTTTTTATGGTGAAAATCGCCAGACATTTCGTCGTAGCAAACCGCTACCGAACACACACTGAATGACGTATGGAGATCAAACTTCACACGAACAAAGAGTAAACCTTTATGAATTTTGTTAAAATTTCTCGATTCTGCCTTGCAGCTTAAATGGATCAGTCCATGTCGATTAGATTTGCCATCTGATACATTAGAAACCCGAACTGTTCACTAAGTTTCATTAAAGATGACGACTTTAAATATAGCCTTCAAAAATGTTTAAATATAATTCTATTGAGTTTGGGTTTCTTGAAAAATACCAAAACTCGTTCAAATTCAAGTAATCACCAACAACATGACTCAAAGAAAAAGTCGTTTTCGTATACCGATTGAACATGAGTTAACTAATATTAAACTCAAAACAGTATAATGATATTTTGGTAGGTCTGAACCGAATGAAACGTAACATCATACAGTACATGCGTAATAAATACTACTAACCTATATCGAAAGTTGTAGATTATTTTTGAGCTTCAATGACTTACTATATATAGGTTTCTGGGTTATTTCAGTTAACTTTACTTCTATATATTCTAAAGGAATGTAAATATATATTTATATACTTTTATATCCCGGTGAATCATAATACAATTCAATTATTTCTTTATAAATTTGGAAATAAAAATCAGAGTCATTAAGGTCTAATGTTTAAAAATGATCGAATTAAAAATGTGTTCTGTGAATAAGGAAAACAGGATGGAAGATCCTACTTTCAGGCAACTTATAGTTGAAGGTGTATAAAAATGAACAGGAAACAATATAATGTTTCGGAATACTGAATTGACGCTTTACATCGCAAAGGATCGGCGTTCACAGCTCTCTTCAAGTAGATCACAAGTGCCTTTGTTACTAGGATAAACACCGTAACCTAATCTAACTTAACCCATTAGTCGATCCTAGGAATCGAGGAGATTATAAATTATAGTCGAGATGGATATATCCATGTTACCATAAGCAGCAGTTAAAAGTAGTCAGGATAATATCAATCTTTAGAATGGCTTTTGTTATGGAAAAATGAAATATTAATCGTGAGGTTGGAAAACCCGTCTTATTCTTTCTCATAATATTATCTGAGACTTTACCCTTTACCACAAATGTTTCAACAGTTTGTAACACTAAATTGGTTTCAATACAAAATTTCTTAACTTTACATTCGATTTGATTTTTCTTTTGATTTTTAAGTTCTGGACATTAGAGGCCTGTCCCTTAAAGACTTATTATGCGAACGTCCACAACTCTGATAAAGATATACAAATTGAGGAAAATTAATTTATTAAGCAATATAAGAAACCTGTATCACATAAACCAACTTTAAAGAATGAAACGCATTTCTATAAAAACTGTGTCAATGGCACTAAGCATAATTATTGGCAACAGATTGTATCCTTCATCAACATTTACAACATATTTACTATAAATAATTTTATTTGAATAGTATTAACTTCAAAGTTAGAATTTTGTTTACCTGCAACACGAATATTGTGCGTGTTGTAAATAGTTCTTTTAAGCCTCTCGCCTGCAGCACAACCGCATAACATAGTAGCGCTGTTATAAAGTTTATAAATTCGCGCTAATACATGTCTGTGGACTTTAACCAGCTTCTTACACAACTTTATTGTTATTTATTCCGTGTTTTTACTTTTGGGTTTGTTGGTGGCTTGCTGTTATCTTTTGGAGAAATACTGTTTACTAAACAATATTGTCACTATTCGGGTGATTTAATGCAGAATGCTATTTACATCAATAGCGAGCGTTATAATAAAGTTGACTCTATTTCAAAAGACGACGCCCCTCATGTTTATAAACAGCAAATCTTAATCAATTGCATATGTTTTGTATACAATCAAATTTTCAAAGAAATGCAAATAATAAACGTTGAGTACTCTTAAACGACCAAATTTATCAAAAACTTGTAATTTTTAAAAATATTTTTAGTATTTTCAACTGTCATCCACCCACAAATATGCCTTACACTCATACTCATATTGTAAAGACAGCGAGCGTCTGTTATTGTATCCTCGAATATATTTTTATTTATGCCATATGCCACCTTATCTGAATATTTGCTCGTTAAAAAGCTGTTGGCGAGTGACAGAATTGTGGCAACGAAAACAATGGCAAATGACTTACCAATCAGGCCACAAGTCAGGCCCGTCACTGTATTACGAAAACTTGTCAATCACATTTGCTAGCTTTTGTGTTTGCACGACCGACAATTGGTGAAGTGACAATTCAGATTGACACAAATTATATCTTCGGTCAGAAAATTTTCCTTTTATATGTGCATTCACCATTCAAAAAGAGGAAATAATAAAAATATAAGAATTGAAAATGAGAAAGCATTTTTTTCACTTTATGTGAAAATTCGAAAATTATATATTCTTAAACCTTTTTAGGTGAAAGTGTTTTATACATATAAGTGATTTGGCAGAAAGGTTTGTTCTACTTAAGTCAGTTATGTAATAATTCAGTCATTATTAGCATCGCAGCTCAAAGGGTAAATACCACTTCCGTTGAAAATGGTTTCCACTGTACCAAATACAATGGCAGTCATTGTCAAACCAATAATAATTATTTTGAACAATTTTTTTGAGTTAAATTTTAAAATCAAATAAATGAATTTAGCAATATTTTGTTAGTTGAATAATTTGTTATTGCAGTGAAAGCGCGTATAATTAAAATAATTTTTTGTCATTTTAGTGTCATAAAATTTGACAGATTGAAAACCGTACATGAGTCTATCGTCAACGTATCTAATACATTTGAAAAATTGATAAATATTATGTGATCAAAGTTGACTCAGACTGGTCCATTTAACTGCGCTCGCAAACCGAATCGATAATTTTTTTTTTGAAATTTATCGTTTAAACCGTGTGTTAGCTGTGTTTTATTAACACGAAAAGGTTGTCAGGCGATTTTTACTACAGAAAAAAGTTGAACCAGATTTCGCTCCCATTACTTTTTCTTTTGATGTCGTTAAAAGTCATTCGCTGAAGGCACTCAAGACCGTCCTAGCCGAGGCTTATAAAAAGTGTATGGCAATTTGGATTATGTGTTGACATGTTTGTATTGACTCAAGAGGAGCCCAAGTTTAAGGCGTTTATAAAAATTTTTCTTAAAATGCGACTACATAAAAAATGTGTTTTTGTTTCTCTGTCCGGATCTAATTTGGTCATACACAATGCTTGGGAACTTACTTAGTTCGAAGTGTGTTTTGTTTTTTGACATAAATAAATATACCAAACAATACTTATCGGTTCTGAGGGCGTCGCTGAGCGTAATTTAAAATGTAGTAATTTTTGAAAATTTCTTACTTATTATCTTTAGTTCATAAATTCGTTCTTTTTGGCAAACTTACAGGCAAGCAGCGGTTTTTCTGAAAGTATAAAGAGAAAATAAATACTTGTAGCTAAAGCTATTTATTAATTTGAGCAAATAACCAAAACTATAAATTAACTATAATATATATAAGATATATGGATTATGTGTAAATAAACCGCTTGTTTATGCCCACATAGATATTTTGCCATAAATTATGTTCGAGAATCTCTTGAGGCGGAATAAAGGAGGAAATTAGTTTATTTACTTTCAAATCTATTAAAAATCCATTAACCGATCATAAAATAAGCTGAGAGTATGTGAAGAAAAATATACCGAAATTTGTTTTTGGTACTTAAGGATGGCAAAAAGCTGTTCATGAAACTGTTAGACACACAAGTGTTGAAGTAAGTGTTGGAAGCGTGAACATTAGTGTATTGTTTAGCTATTTTATTTAGCGAGTAGTAGAAATAAGTATGAATGGGCAGCCATAGAAGCAGGTGTGCGAGCGCTGATTGCCTATTGCAAAAAGTAAACTGCTATTGATATGCCATATGATATATACGAGTGGCCTACTTACTATAAATATATTTAGTGTACATATATGTAGGCTTATAAATCTTAAACGAAAGAAAATAATGTTTTGATCAAAATATATGCCGAAAATACCATAAAATATCTGGAGGTGTTCAAAAAATGTTTTATAGTCTTCATCCAATACTACAGCCGTCCGGTAATGGCTTTATCAGTCTATAGAATTCTATCGCAAGAAAAAATTTAGTATCGCGTAGAATATTCTCGTAAAAGACATTACTGTCAAAATTGCAACCAATTAGGATTTCTCGTACTCCTCTTTCTTGATGAGAAGGCTCAAAAAACCGCGTGCGTCATATATTGCTCGAACTATTGGACACCAGAAATCAGACGACGCGTTGGCGCCACCCAGTTTGCTCAGTCCGACAACAAGCGCAGCTGTTAGACTTCTTTACAACAATGTTTGACACTGTTTAAGCTCAACTTGCGAGAGTTTCTGATTCGTTGCATGATTGTGCATGAAACATAGCAGACATTATAGATCAAGAAACTGTCCATACTTGCCACTTTGCTTCGAAGATGACGAAGACTGTGCTACCGGCCGTTGATCGGGAGGCCACCGTTTTCTAGAATTCAGAAGGTGTCATCTACATCGAATATTTGGAGAAGTGTAAAGAGCTTTACTATCCCGAATTATTGGAAGATTCAACAATGTCCTTCCAATTTTATACCGCATCTCTGTCGTCGCCATTGCCAAACTGCTCGAACTAGGCTGCGAACGGCTTTCCCATCAACCGCATTCTCTAGACTTGAGCTGTGTGACTTTATTTCGTTTTCAAACGTGAAATTGTCACCTGCCGTCACTAAGCAGCTGCCACTAAGGTTTACTCATTTGAGTTTTGTTCATTTGTCGAAATCGCCAATATTGGACCACTATAGCATATAGCTGCCGTACAAACTGAACTACTACTACTGGAATCAAATCCTTGTAAAGAACCTTTTGTATTTGTAAAGGATATTATAGCTTCAGTGCAACCGAAGTTGATGTTTTTTCTTGTTTTAAAATATTATCAATTCCAAAATATTTGTAATCGTAAGGCCTACCTCGAACTTATTTTCCTGATACGGCCTTACGTGGACCATTCAGGATTTTGAAGTGCTGAAAAGCACTAAATATTGACCAAAATTGGATAGTGGCAGGAATATTTTACTAAACCAAAGGCATTAATCGTTCGATTTTTATAAATATAAAAAAATAAACAAGAAACGTAATAATGACTTACAGATCTCACTTGCTTCAAGTTAAGCAACCAAGTGGCATTTTATGACAACTCCTAAGATATGTATGTTTTATGTGATATAACTAAAAATGTAAGTAATTGCGATACAATATAAATATATTTGGAAGGGATTCGCAATCAGCGCTTTCCATAATACACCAAGTTATGTAAGCGCAGTGAGGACATAACAAGCAGCCAAGCATAAGGAAGTTACTTTACATTGTGGGCGTAAAACCGAATTTTTAATGAATTATTGTCGTATTTGTGTTTATGCAGCATGACGCTTATCGAATTGCGTGCCTAACACGTATTAATGCGTGATTTTATCGCAAATACTTGAGCGCCGACGTCAGCAATTATGAGTGGCGCATAAGAAGATTCATGGTCGGGTGGCAGCAGCAGCCATTGCGTAACAGGCAAACCATTGCCGTTAACTTAAACACACACACACACAGACTAAATAGAAATGACGTTACAGACCGCTAAAATGTGACCAAGCATGTGCAGGCGTTTGTGGGCGCGGTGTTGGTGGGAGGGTGATTTAAAGCACGTGCCTGGTATTTTTCGCTTTTTGTTTTGTTTTCTTTGCTCTCATATTTAATTTTTATCTTTCTTGTAATTTTAAGCCATGCCAACTGCTTTTTTCCTATATTAATACATGCGCGTTTTCCTTTGCTATTTTATCATTTGGCGTTTGTTTCACGCTACTTCATATTCATATAGTATATACTCGTATTTATTGTACAATAATATTAGACGGTGTTCTTGCTGTTTTTGGATTTGGTTCAATGGTGCGCGTGCGAAATTGTTGTGGCGGCAAAAGTCTGCTTTGCTGCGAATGCTTCCTTATTGCTTTCTTTTTGAGTATACGTATATTTGTATGCATATTCAAGAACATTAGGGTGTTCCTTAAGAACATAAAATGAAATAATTTCCCTTGCGCATTTCCAGTGTTATTATCCTGATTAAGATATCATATGTAAATTTGAATTACGCTAAAACATTCTTAATATGTATATATACATATATGAATATAGCTAAAGTTCTAAAGACTACCCTACCAAGATACTTACAAAGTTATGTATATAACTATCAACTCTGAATTAAAATCGAAAAATATAGTTTTCTAAAATATTTATTTTGTGTTAGAAATAAAAATGTAATGGTTCAAAACTGTGGCATCTTATAAGGGGTTAGGCCGGTTAAGAGCCGTAAAATAGATCTAACTTTGACAATTTCTTTTAAGAGTATAGCGAGATGATCGAATTTTCTTTCTTTCAAGCTTTATTAAGCATATATTTCAATGTACAAAAAATATGCCAAAAGTTGGCTATAAGACTAATCCTCGGAACCCTCTTTTTCATGAGTGCAACTTGAAGTGACTGTGATTCTAGGAATTCGTTGTATTTAAGACAAAATATAGAATGGTATTTTCATTATAAGTTTCAAAAGTGGATTTTAAAAAAAGTTCAATTTGGCTGCACCGAAGTTATTATACCCTTCACATGTGTATTTTTTCTAGCAAGGGCATAAATAATTTTGTCTTTATTTAGATCGGTCAATTTATATGGCAGCTATGTGCTATAGTAGTCCGATATCGACGGTTCCGACAAATGAGGAGCTTCTTGAGGAGAAAAGAACGTGTGCGAAATTTCATATCGATATCTCATTGATATTAAAATTGTGGAACTAGTTCACGTATACCATATACAGAAAACTTTGTATCCACCCAAATGGTGGCCATAACTGTTCTAAATCGGATGCGAATTTTTATGTGAAACCTTCAAATATAAAAGTGTCGATATATATATATATATATATGTCTGAATTTTTGGCAAAAAGTAAATATATTTGAACAACAAATTGATATATTTGAAATCTATATGAAATAGTACGACGATACCTAATAAATATGGTACAATCGCTTGTTGATTAATTTCTATTTTATTTTACTAGTTACTTTCATATATTATAGCAGTTGCTTGTTCGATTCACCTCTCTCGTGTGATTTAGGCAATGTAAATATCTGTCTACAATTATGAACCACCCTAATAAATATACATTGACAATGGTATTCATATTTGTAAGCCTTCATCTAAGCATGTAAGTACTGTTTCAAAGTGTGGTGAATGCTAAAAGCCTACAAAAGCGATTTAGAAATGATTTTGCAAATCAAAAGCCAACAACAAGAAGAAGCACTCTAAGAAAATTTGCTTAATCGCCAAATTGAAGAGAGTGCTTTGGCGCCAAGCACCGAACAAATGTACAAACATACATGCATACATATATCTACCGTAGATATACATCAATTTTGGTGAGCTACAAACCCATTTCGTATTATTTTCATAATAAATATTTTTGCAACAAATTGCTTAGAATTTATTTACTAAAAACTAAATGAAAATTCCAATTAAAAATGGCAACAACTTTGCATATAAAATGTGTAGACTTTGTTTATATTAACACTGTTGTTTTTTTCTTTTTTTGTGGTTATAAGAAAATTTTACGAGTTTCCATTCAAACCGCTGCTATACTCATACATACATATATGTTTATAAATATATCTTGTACATATGTATATACAGATTATTTATCGTAACCGTTGCTAGGCGCACATCACTTGCGGCATGCAGGGGCGTTCAAACTACCCACTACATTGTTTCCTTGTTTTTGTTTTCGTACAACGCCACCATTGTTGATTTGCTTACTTAATAAATTAGTAAAAAATTGTTGCAAGTAGAGTGAATCTTTGAACTCATAAATGTTTACGACTCACACATAAAATATCGATTGTATATATTTAAATCGATCTATTATAGAAACGTAAATGTACATATGTGTTTGTAATTTAAAAAAGAAAACAAATCGTGCTCCACACACGCTGTTCCGAGCGTTAAACAAACGGGTTATGCCGCTTTTGCCCAGCTGGCGTAAAATAATAACAATACAGTGCATTTTTATTGATGCCCCAGTAATGACGTCATATCGCCATGAAATACCGTTGTACGCTTGTGTGCGCGCGAAATTGGCGTTTTTAGCCGCTTTACGATTGTGTATGCAAAACGTGCTGCCATCAACGACCAGCGCCAGTCCCATACGCTTTCGGCATTCTTTTTGCGTCTTCTTTTGTTCTGCTTTGCTGTCGTGTTTTTGCAAATTTTCACATTTATTCAGTCTTTTATTTGTTTGGATTTTGGCCAAAGCATTTGGCCGTGTGTGCAACAAAAATGCAATCGACAATCAG